AAATTAAAAATTCAAATTAAATTTATTAAAACTAAATAAAAACAATCTCACATTACAAATATTTCAATTTCGTTTAGTTTAAGAGCAAGTGTGTGAGACGATGAGGTAAGAAATAAAGTAGGGTCTGCTTCTAGTTGTAGACAGTAATCTCTGTAATTTTACTTGACTGCAATTATGATCATTCTTTCAATTTTGAATGGTCATTGGATGCATATATATTAATTAATCTGTATCTATTTATTTAATATTATGTAATTATTATAAAATTTTATTATAAAAGATAATAAAAATTTTCACCTTCGAAATTATAAAAGAAACATGTATTTAAATATGAAATTAATGAATATTTGTTTATATTGTAAAAAAAAATTTAAAATTTAAAAATATATTATTTTAATACAATATTATGAAAAAATATTAAAATAAAATAACCTCATTTATATTTTAAAAATTGAAATATTTTAATCTTTTTAAATAAAATTTTACTAAAATAATAAAGTTTTATAATATTCTTTTAATTTTTCACAATATAAACTAATACTCACATTTTTCATTTAAATATAAAAGAATTACTTATTACAACTATTTTTAATGTGGATACTGATATTGTCTTCAGCTCCATATATTTTCACACTACTACAGTGGGCTTTTCTACCTTATGGACATTTTATGTACAGTTGTGGTTTTCGAGCCTGGGATCAGATAGGCTCAAGAAAGCGCAGATGGGCCAATACTTTGTGGGTCTACCTAGTCCACTAGGACTAAGTTTGGGCAGTGGAGTACCAAGGTTAAGCCCATGGCTTTATATCCTGGACCATACCAGAGACCAGATATAAGTATCCCAATTCGGCAATTCCCCAACTGAGATCTGATTTAATTTCAGAGCCCAATAGTCCATTACATGGGCCTCACATTACCCGTAACCTTGCCCACGGAGAGGTTCGCAAGGCCCAAAACCTAGTAGGAGAGTTAAAATTTCGAGTTATATCGATTTATTGCAATTTTTCAAATTTTAAAAAAGAACAACTTACATTATTGTTGATTTAAATTTTATAGTATTAAGCCAACCGGAGTATGGCCCAATGGTTGGTTCTTAAGTTTTAGGGTTTGGGTGAGGCAGAGGTCAGGGTTTTGAGTTCTGTTATCGCCGTGAACTCCATCAACTTGCGACCTAATGGTCGCGCGCCTCTTCTGAGGGTGGATTGTTCACCGTTCTAGGATCGGAAATCTCAGTTGCTAACAATTAACTCTATTAACTTTCTAACCATTACCCTTGTCAAAAAAAAAAATATAGTATTATTACTTTTTATTTTGAACTC